AACTCCTCAGTCGGTCATTTTGAAATTTGGAGTGCTGAGTTTTGTATCAAAAAAAACTTACACACCTCAGCTTTTATCTTATTTGTTACTTTTTCGAATTTTAATTTTTGCTCATACATTGTGGTCAAAAACGCAAATTGTAGTTTTTCTCAAAAATTTCAAATGCATCACCCTGTATATTTGTGCATGTTTGGATTAAATTTTTTATAAGCTTTTTTTTTATACTAGACACATAAGGTTTTTACGGCTATTTTTTCGGTTATCAGCACGTCATTTATGGAACGGCTTAAACAAATAAATAGTTGATTAGTTACAAAATGTCAAAATTAGCTTTGTGTTAGAATGAAAACGTGTTTGAAAATAAATTTTTCTAAAGAAGAAATGGTGAATATGGTGTTCGTTTTGGGCGAAGCCCAAAGAAATAGTTTCCTAGCATCTCGCATTTATAAGCAACGGTACCCTAATATGCGACATCCAAGGCCTAACAAACATTTTCCACACTACGAGAACGTTTTGAATCAAGTGGAGCAGTGGAATATAGTAAAAATGTATAAATAATCCAAGTGTCACCAATGAGGCGAATCAGTTGGAGGTTCTATTAAAGTTGCAGGAAAATCCCCATTTAAGTGCACGGCAAATTGGAGCAGAAACTGATATATGCAGAACTTCTGTTCAAAGGCTTATTTACAAGCATAGGTACCATCCATATCACCTATGCTTGCATCAAGGCCTTCGTCGTCAGGATTTCGCAGCTCGAATGGAGTTTAGTAGAATAATGCTAAATAAAGTGAGTGAAGGCACTACTTTCCTGGATAAGGTCCTTTTTAGCGATGAGGAAACTTTTAACAACATAGGTGATGTCAACAGGCATAACATGCACTATTATGCGACGGAAAACCCTTACTGGGTTAGACAAATAGATTTCCAAAATAAATGGAGCTTGAATGTTTGGGGAGGAGTTATTGGCAGACAAGTTATCGGGCCTTTCTTTTTCGATAACAGATTAACAGGTACAGAATAATTGAATTTTTTGATCGAGCATTTGCATTTGCTTTTGGAGGATGTCAACCTGTATATGTACTTCCAACATGGCGGCGCACCTGCGCATTATCATAATCGTGTGTGTAACTATTTGGACACCTGGAGTAACAATCGTTGGATCGGTCGTGATGGGCCTATATCTTGGCCTCCTAGATTACCAGATATGACACCGATGGACTTCTTTCTATAGAGCTACGTTAAGCAAGAGGTTTATAGATATCCACCATCTACCCCGGAAAATATGAAGCAAAGGATTAAGGATGCTTTTCTGAACATAAGGGAACACATGCTGAGGGATATACAACGGTCATTTATCCAAAGATTGCGGCTGCGCATTCAACATGGTGGGAGATATTTTTGAGCAGTTTTTGTAGATTAGGTCTTGAGTAGTGATAGTTGTTTTTCTCTATTACGCTTGAAGCTGTTTTATACTGCTCTGATTGTTATTAGTTTTACGTCAAATCTGTACTCTATATACAGGGTGTTGCATTTGAAATGTTTGAGAAAAAGCACAATTCGCATTTATGACCACCCTGTATGAGCAAAACTGGAAATACGAAAAAGTAACAAATAATATAAAAGCTGAGGTATGTAAGTTTTTTTGGATGCAAAATTCAGCACTCCAAATCTCAAAATGGCGAATTGAGGGGTTGCCGAAGTGGACTATTTTTCTGGACAAAACACCTTAAATCTCAGCAGCTAATTACCAAAACCCCATAGTATGTTATGTCAATCTTCTTCTTTAGAATTGGTTCATCCAAATATGCAATAAAATTTGAGGCATTCCATTTAAAAAATCACAACTTTGATATGTAGGTAAAAATTGGGACACCCTGTATATTTGCCAATATTTTAGAAATGTGCCCTCAAATGTCATGTATAACATGCCGTAAATAGATTTTCCCAAAATGCATTTGTTTATGAGTAATATTCCGTCCACACATATGGATGGGCCACCCTGTATATATTAGTCTAATCATATTAGAAAATTCCCCCGAAATAATTGTAGAGTTTGGTTTTATTGATGCAAGTTGTTCAAGGGGGTATTCAAAATGGGAACACTGATTTTTGTGGGAAAACTTTATTCGACAACAAAGAATGAGAAAACGTGTTTTTTCGGATTCAATGTGTTGTCAGGAACCAAAAAAACTCTTCCAATAAGATTTTTAGCTATTTATGAGACATACGGAATCAGACTACACGTAAAAAGATCCGACTAATAGTAAAAAAGTTATGGCCGAAAACCGAGGCAAAATGCAGGTTTTGGTACTTGCTGCTAATGCGACGATAATTCCCCGCAGCTACTTGAAATTCTTCAAATCCATAGGCTTAATACTTCTAAGGAACCACAACTAAATTGCAGTCGATTGGTCAAGTAGTCTTTGAGAATTTCTAATTTTTTATCCCAAAACACCTGTCTTCCGCCCATCACTACTAGTTTACTGAGCAATATACAGGGTTCGTGCAAAGGGCATTTTATAGCGAAATACAAGAATTTACCTTACCGGCATAAATCACAAACCATTCCGAAAGATAATTGTTGTTTTTACGCGAAAAACGAAGGGTTACGTTTTCTTTCGTGTAAACAAATTCAAACATTTCGTATTTGTGAGTAATTGATCACATTCGCTACGATATTCGAAAAACATACGTTATTATATACATTTTAAATCAAAGCGGATGTGTCTATCACCTTTTGTTGCGAAGAAAACAATTTTTTTCTAAGATTTCTTCATACTCTTGTGTATTCATATTTAGAGCTGAAGTTTTTACATGGTCACAGATGAGCCCTAAAGTTTATAAAAAAAGTATTTCATACTGAAATGCGCTGAACTGTTTATAAAGTTAGGACGCAAAATGAAGACACAATTATGTTTCAAACTAGTTAGTTCGTAGCATGTGCTAAATGGCTGCACTATTGATGACTGCATGACTTTGTCAAATAAGTAGGTCACGTAATCCAGTTTCGTTACGATGAAATATAATCTCCTGGAAATTTTTTCTAAAAGTCTTAATACAGTATACGTCTGTTTTCGAAATCTCGTGCGATTAAAACGACTGCGAGTTCAAAATATTGGAAAATAAACTCGAGAAAACGAAAAAACAGTAAACAAATATCAACCAATTGTAGCGAACTGACCGTCTTCAAAATTAGGCAAAAAGCTCGGTATTCGTTCCTAATACATTATTTAAAGTTTCAGCATTGTATCTTGTATAGTTTTCGAGAGCATTCAAATTGTTTATAACAAAATTGATATGCCTTCAACTTTCGCTTGACATTTGTCAGTGTCAAGTGTAGCGATATAATTTTTGAAAACATATATCTTAGGTGTGTAAATTATTAACCAACAATAATGAAAGACATCCGAAAATAATAAATACAAACTATGCAAAAAATGTCTACGCTGTTGATGAAATGAGCATCTACGCTTAACAGTCACTTGTTAAATACAAAAACTGTGGGTTAGCTTACTTAATATTATAAGCATCCTCTGCAGCTCCAGGAGGTACCTAATTTGACGGCGTGTCGAAAACTTGGGGGTATTATCACAAACAAAATTTCAGATGTATTTCATTATTGTTGTTAATAATTTACGCACCCAGGATATTATGTTTTCAAAAATTATCTGCTATGATCCGACATAGTGCTTCTGAAATCTCATCAAAGTAATTTAAAGAAAAATTATAAACAATGATACGTTTAAGTACCCCTGATTTCCTGTTTGCAAACTTACATTCTCTATGGCGTGCGAAAAACTGTTTGATCGCAATAAAAGTACATATAATGTGTAAAAACATTTATGTCTTCAAATTAAAAAAAAAAATATAGCCTAAAACTGAGCTTTGTGGAAGACTAGCGACGACTTCCTCTCTGACGAGCGACTTGGAGGTAATCACTGCTTGGGGACGCAACATCTTGTACGGTTTAATGCTTCCAAACACAGTACTGTACCTGGACGAACAAAAAGCGTCCTAGCGCTCATCCCGTTCCGATGGGTTCTGCCAAAGAGCCGTTCACTTCGGTTGGTCCAGATCACCAAGGTCTTGATCTGGCACGAACACATTTCGTCAATAGCGGCAGCTGCTGGGAAAAGGCTAGACTATTTGTTTAGGGCTAAGAAGTACTTCTCTCCACATGACATTCTCACTCTATACAAAGCCCAGATGAGGCGTAGCCTCTAGTATTGCTCACACGTTTGGGGTGCTGCCGCCCCGACTGCATTATTTATGTTTTATGCTGTCCAGAGCAGGGCTGCCCGACTGATCGACGACTCTTCTCTAACAGACAGTCTCGGAACCCTTTCGCACCGGCGGGTCGCTCTCTACCGCTACACCAACGGGCTTTGCTCCTCAGAGCTTTCTTCCATGATACCGCCGCGCGATGTGCCTGCCAGACAGACCCGCCTGACTTTGGCCTCCCATCCTAATCGTGTCGAACTTCGTACATCCAGAACTGGCCGATATGACCGCTCCTTTGTATCAAGGGTGTCGAGATTTTGGAACCTTAGGCAGTTCAAAAATCGGATTAACAAATTTTCTTTGGGATCCTCAAAGTAGTCGTGGTGTCCCGGCATTTAGGCTTCTGCCTGCCCGGCTGCGTTGGAATAAAAACAGTAATTTAAAATCAATCGTACACATGTAGTTGCTATTTATTTCAAATGTTTTGTAGCTCCTGATGATGATGACGAAATTCATCGAAAGCTAATTTTGTCGAAGTACCCAGCTAAAGGCTGAAGCTTTTCTCACGTAACTATATATATATACATCTAGCACGGACTGTCAAACCGGCATAAATGAGACACACGAACTTGTGTGACGCACATATATTTAAGCAACATAAGACTTGTGAACTGACAGTATTATTGCGAGTTCAATACTTCCATCGTTTAGATAGTCATAGGTTTTCAAAATTATAACTGCCTATTTTCGTGTATTTCTAAAGCAGTCATTTTTTGCAGGCCGAATGCTGTGGCGTGAAGGGACCCAAGGACTGGACTGTGATTACCAAGAACGACTCGCTACCACACACTTGCTGTCCAGATACTCCTGATGATGGTACCTGCACCACCCACCTAAACCATTACAAGGTATCTTGTTTAGAGAAAATGAAAACGCTCTTCAACAGATATGGTGCCATCATAGGAGGTGTTGGAGTTGGCATAGGGGCAGCTCAGGTAAGTACATTAACTCCTCACTCTAAAGCCCGATTTTATCATAAATCCGCGGATCAAATTCGGCCAATCAGAAATCCGCCAATTGATCTAGAGCTCGTAGGTCAAAATTAACCAATCAGAAAACGTTTCTAAAGTACAGTAATGAATCTAATGAATGTATTCGATTTTTTTCTAATATACTGGGTGTTTCCTAATTGAATGTCAATATTTGAGAGGGCCTTATTTGGGACCATTTCAAGACGAAAACTTCATGTGAACGTATGTTCTAAACGTGTTAGCTTGTACTTCCGCGTGGTAAAGTTTTCAATATAAGAAGTCAGAAGCACGCCACTGCCTTTTCTTAAAATAAAAGAAATGAAATCTGTTTTAATTTATGAGCAGATATGATCTCTTGATTTTTTTAGTGCAACGCACCGTTTTGATCGTTATGATCAATATTTTTATTAATGAAATGGATTATGGTAAGTATGTCGTCTCAATGCTTTCTGATCTGTCTAACGCATTCGACACGGTTAGCAATAGTATATTGGTTAGCAAACTGGTTGCGATAGGAGTCCGTTAAAGTAGGAAAAGTCTACGCCATGCATTGGCGGGCCACAAGGCTCAGTCCTGGGTCCAATGCTTTTTCTGCTTCATGTTAACGATCTGCCTGCTCACAACTCGAGAGGGAGGGTCACTATGTTTGCAGATGACACGTCAGTTACAGATCAGCGCCTGGTTTCAGCGCAATAGGATAAGACAGTCATAAAAAATTATACAATTCAGTGATCACTTCCCAGTGAAATGATCAATGACTTTCAGATTGCTCAGTATGCCAAACGCTGGGTACCTTTTTCGACTCAAAACTGTCCTGCGATCACATAGAGCACGTACTATATGTAAGCAACTTAATAATCATTTTATGCAGTCCTACAATTGAAAGGCATTCTCGATCAAAAGGATCTATTGAATGTGTATAGCCTTGCCTATTCTCATATGCCATACAACATAATGGCGTGGGGAAGGACTAGAGTGAGTGAGAGAGTCTCTTTGTCTCAAAAACGGATCTTGAGACTTATTTTAAATATAGGGTCACTTGAAAGTTGTCGACAAGTTTTTAAATGTATTAATATATTGACCTTGTGTTGTATATATATTTAAATGGGTTAACCTTTGTTAAAGAAAACCAGAATATTTTCACAACTTTAGCGTATCATCACTCATATCAGACTAGAAACACCAATCTTCTAGCTGTACAAAATCATATTACATTACATTTTAAGCAGTCACCATACCATATTATAATTGTGTGATCTTATTTAATAAACTACCTATTTACTTTAGAGAAATAGAACACCATAATAAATTCAATTACAGTGTGAAATTATTTTTACAGAGCAACTGTTTTTATTCAATCAGTGAATATTTGGATGCCCAGTTCTAGGTGCTTTAGCAGTGGTAGGTATGTCTTGTAAGTACGGTGCAACAATATTTGTTTTTCTTCTCCTTTGCTATCAATCGCAGCGTGCTAACTGCTTAAGTTAAACTGACTAGGCGACTGAAACTCGCGCGACACGACAGTGGTACCGCGGCAAGTAGTCGTATATATATATAACAAAAAATAGGAAAATAATGGGCAAATTCCGCAAAAAGGATGAAAGTGGATTCGAGCAGAAAATAGGATAGGTAACCCGAGATACACATGCCCACACATCCGGATACGGGTGTAACCTGAGGAAACGAAGTTGGAGGGGGAAAAAAACGACACACGACACAACAAGAGCCAACCTACACATTGTAGTATAAAATGGCTATACGACCTCGCATTTTCAAGGAGACGTCTAACCACCACCACGCGGCCGGGTATAGCCACTTGCTGTGGTACTTCAAGCCCAAAGGATCTACAAAGAGAATATGATCATGCGGGGAAAGGTATTTCACCATAAGAAAATAGGATAGGTAACCCGAGCGATACGTATTTATGCTGGTTGGCTTCATCAGGCCCGAAATGAATGCACATATATAAACAACAAAAGTGGATACACATGCCCACACATCCGGATACGGGTGTAACCTGAGGAAACGAAGATGGAGAGGGAAAAAATCACACACGAAGTCCACAACAAGAGCCAACCTACACGTTGTAGTACAAAATGGCTAGAAGACCTCGAATTTTCAAGGCGACATCTAACCACAACCTCGCGGCCGGTTATATGCACTTGCTGTGGTACTTCCAGTCCAAAGGATCTACAAAGAGAAAATGATCATGCGGAGAAAGACATATAGCAAAAAATAGGAAAATAATCGGCAAATTCCACAAAAAGGAGGAAAGTGGATTCGAGCAGAAAATAGGATTGGTAACCCGAACGATACGCATTTCTGCTGGTTGGCTAATGTTTGTTTAACTTTGACTGTGTGTTATCAACTTATTTATTTTCTGTGTATTTTTTACTCTATTGTTTCCATTGGCGCGTGCTATGTCATCTTATGATGGTCTAACAGAACTAATAAAGAAATGAAATGAAACATGAAAGTCACTTGTATCATAAGGTGCACTTTACATCGAAAAGTATCAATCAAAATTTATAGGTATATCAGATAAAAATGTGCCAAATATTCATATATAAAGACTAGAAGTCACTTCAAAAGTTCGTTTAGAAAATAAACAAAAACTTTTGTCAATTTACAAAGAAGTTTACAATTTTTGTTTGTCTTGTTTAAATAAAAGTTTAACTTCACTGAATCGTCGTTTTATTTCTTGAAGTAGCATTTAAAATGTAATGTATGTCAGAAAGTAAATGGTTTGAATTAGAAGCCTTAATTGTGTAGCATGCGTCTCCTAGACGCTTATCTTTTGCGGTAGTTATTATCTGATTATCTTTCTAGGGTTAATGTTTGCCTTTTTAAAATATGTTTTCCTTGTAATTTATATATGACTTGCCATATACACTATTGTGTCGTTTTGGTTAAATAAAATACATACATCATGCAGAAAATCTGTCTCTATTTTTTTCAAGCGAAGAGAATACGAGGGTCACTATTTATATTTTGAGCCTCGGCAACATCAAGTGTGCTTCGGCTCCATCTGACGTTTCCAATAGCAAGTTTGACATTTTTAATCATACGCTTCTTCAGAATGTTTTGCCATTTTAGCACGATTTATGTTGTTGATAGAGATTTGAAAACTGTCGCAGTGAAAAAATGGACTCGTGAAAATTTTCGTGCGATGATCTATTACGACTTTAGACGTGGATTATCAAGGCAGGAATGCATCGATCAACTTACTTCGACTTTTGGAGATTCAGCCCCATTCTTTGCCACTGAAACGATGGTACGGGGTCCGTCAGAAAGAACGCATGTTTTTCGAATGGGTACTACATCGAGTGGGCTGGTCCCGTGTCGGTAGGGAACGGGCATGTTGGATAGTGGGAGAAGTGCCGTTTCAGTTGGCAAGTTGGTTTGGAACGTCGATCATCGTGTGTTCACTGTACGTCGGTACTTTCAAAATGGCGAGTCTGTCGTTCGAACGCAACGTGAGTTTCGTGTTCCACGTCGTGGGACAGTACCAGACCGTAACACCATTTTGAGATGGGTGGAAGCATCCAACACAGCAGGTAATGTAACGAAGGGCGAAACCGTACTGATAGAACCCCCGAAAACGTAGACAGAGTGAGTTGACACGCTGCAAAGCTCGAATCGTTCCGTCCGTTTGCGTGCCAGTTCCCTAGCGGTCCACGCGTCCTCTGTACCTCGGATCAAAAAGAAGGATTAAGGCCCGTATCGTCAGTCGTCCCTACAATTGTAGGGTGCCTTTATGGCCTCCTTGATTGTCATAGTTTTCTGCTTCCCCGTGTCAGAACTCTATTTTGAGGTTATGTCACAAACATCTATTTGCATCAAACTATGCTTGCTTTTGAGTTATATCATGTTTTATCAGCCTGAAATTACCTACAATTTAAAAAGAAAACATATCTTCACAAAGACTCCTGTTGATATAATCTACTTAGATTTTTCTAGGGCTTTCGACCGCGTACCACATAGAAGGCTTCTGTTTAAGTTGGAATGTATGGGAATAAGAGGCGAGTTGTTACTGTGGATTAAGGCTTTTCTCACCGGGAGGACTTTCTCTGTGCGCGTCAGTGATAGCCAGTCTCACCTTCATCATGTAGCAAGTGGAGTTCCTCAAGGCTCTGTCTTGGGGCCAGTGCTGTTCCTTCTGTATACAAGTGACCTGCCCGCATTGATTTCCTCCACATGTTCAGCTTATGCCGACGACACCAAGACTTACAATACTGTCGTAAATTCTGCTATGCTTCAACGAGATCTTGATATTGTTTGTCAATGGTCAGTCAGTTGGCTTTTACCCTTAAATCTAACTAAGTGTTGTGTCCTTCACCTCGGGAAGACAAATCCGCGATTTACATACAAGATCTCTGACCACAACATCGAAGCAGTTTCCAGCCACACTGATCTGTTGTAGTCAACGATCGTCTTTCCTGATCAGAGCATATTCACCACGTTACAAGACTTCGTGGCGATCTTATAGTTACGTTCAGGATACTTCATGGTTTGATGGGCACCAACCTCATGCATCTATACCGTCTGTCGCGCAGCAATCTACGCGGACACAGCTTCAAACTGCATAAGGAGCCATTTAAAACAACAGTCCGACAGTGGTTTCTTCCCAACCGCATATTCAACACCTGGAATAGTTTACCTGAAAGTGTGGTTGGTGCTACTTCAGTTAATAGCTTCAAAGTGCAGTATGACAGCTGGAGGAGTGTACAAACTTTATAGCTATGAACTGTCTTTTTTTATTTTTTTCTATTTGATGTATTTGTGTTACGTGTCCGTACACTATATTTACTGCATGAGCTTATAGTACTGTGTACTCTGCTCATCTCAATTATCATAATAATAATAATAATAATAATAATAATATGAGAGCGCTGACGCTGACACGGGACAAGTGTAATCTAGAAATTTTTGAAGGAGAGAAAGAAGGATGACAATCAAGGAGG